TTAGAAAAATATTGTATATTTACAAAAACATATTTACTTTATTATATCTTAAAATGTATATATAGAGTCTATTAAATTTTCAGGATTTAATTTTTGGGCATCCACACTTGATACTGTACAGTATAACTAATATCCGGTATATGCTTGTAAACCATGCATGTGGACAATTCACTAGAAAATCATGAAATATGCCTCATATATGCCAGAGTATCATTCCAATGGCGAGTTCATAATATGTTCAGCTCAAACATTGTTCTGAAAACACTTGAATCTGTTGTAAATTCTGAATTGAATAATGTTTGCAAATGGCTTAATGCCAACAAACTGACGCTTAATATAAAAAAGTCAAATTTTGTTATTTTTCTCCCACACCAGAAATCAGTAAATTATCATCCAGTAATTAGCATGTATGATAATAATTCTAAGCAATACACACCACTCGAATGCAAAGAATATATAAAGTATCTTGGTATCATTATTGATTGCCACTTAAGTTGGAAGCATCACATTGACTATATTGAATTAAAGATTAGTAAAAATGTTGGGATTATCTCAAAATTGCGATATTTTATTCCAAATCATACCGTATACTAGATATATAAAGGTCCTTAATTTTACCTTATCTTTCGTATGGACTGTCTGAATGGGGAAATGCTGCCAAGTTTCACATTACGAAACTTCTTATATTACAAAAACGCGTTTTACGTCTGATATATTTTAAATCATTTGATAATCATGCAATTCCCTTGTTTGTTTCTTCAAATTCTCTTCCTATTAATATGATGTATATCAAAGAATCTGCTAACATGTTATACGATATATCAACCGGAGACTCGCCAACAACTCTACAAGAACTTTTCAAAAAAACATCTGAGGTTCATAATTATAATACAAGAGCGGCGAAGAAAGATAATTTTTATATAAAATATTCTCGCCTAGAGCTTCAGAAATGTTCGTTTTCTCGACTTGGTGTGGAAATTTGGAATAGTATTGACCAGGGCCTTCGCTCAAAAAGTAAAAAGATATTTAAACACAAAATGTGCCAGGCCCTCTTTACAATTCTTACAACTGAGAATCACTATGTTGATGTGCCCATGATAATAGCAAGATTGCCAATTGTAACTATGATGGTTTAAATTACCTTAAATCCTTTGAGATAGAATACTAGATAAGGATGTTTCAGCTGCTTGCCTTTTTCTCTGTAATGCTAGATCTGTAATACTGTATTTAAAATTACAATATTTTTTTCATAATCAATTAACTTTATATACTTTCCTTCACTTATTTGAAAAAATATTTTTCTAAACTTACTTAAACTACCTACATTTAAATTCATTGCCTCCCACGACTAGCTTGGCTACTTGCAGGTAATGCAACATATAATCTTTTTTGTAAATTTTTGTAAACATTAAATTATTATTATTATTATGAGTCTTTGGCAACTAGCTGTTTTTCTTTACTAGTAGACCATGCATGTATACATGGATAAAATAGGAGAAATCTATTTACCTGTTTACAGATTAATTTAATTGTTTATATAATCATACTTGGAATTCAGATGATATATCAAGTTATCTTCACACTGTATAACAGCAACATTTTCCCATTAATTGACAGTAACATCATTTTCTAAATTCAGATATTCTCACATGGGACATATATACTTTTTTATAGTATCGTTGTATTGTTTACAAATTAAAATACCGGTATTTTAGAAATGTAATAATGGATTGAATTCCGTGAGAATTCTTAAGGAATTCCTTCAAAATTCTGTGATAATTACATGTGATTGTCTATAGTAAGGAAATTTTAAAGGAATTTCAGAGAAAAATTTAGAATTTAGATATTTACAATTATGGGATTCTGTGAGACTGTTTCAAATTGCGTTTTAATTAATAAAGTAGTGCCAAAATGTGAAAGAAACCAAATTGTATACAGTGAAACTTTAAAGTGGGAAAGAGATAGGGTGGTGAGATACGGTTAGTGTTTTAAAATTAATCTTGAAATATATGCTGCACAGGTTTTACCGGTATATCAGTGGTTGTTAATATACGTTTATGGGACTAGCATTGCACTATCTCGTGAAAAGGGAATATAGCGTTGAATACAAACTATAAAACCAAATCATATTTCAATTTAACAAGTGATTTAAAAATTAGAGAAGTGAACTAGCAAAGTATCCCAATATTAAATGGCCAACTGCCAAGATTTCAGCATGCACTGATCCAAACCCCCATGCCCCTCATAACATGCAAATTTGAATCATACTGTGCAGTTGTTTGAGTCAGAGTGCATGCCACTACGCCAGTCTTAATATGAGTGAGCAATATAACTTCCATGTGAATCTTCAGTCCAGAAATTTTAAAACCTTTAATTCTTTTGGCATTTCCCTAGGCCCACCCCAAGGCTTATAACATATAACATATAAATTATATTATTTTATATTAACTACAAAAATGACAAGTCTTATTTTCAGCAGACAAATTTCAAGCCTTCACATAACTATCATTCTTTATATAGTACCTTGCAATTGTAGAAGTAACCCACAGTAAGGCACAATGCTAACTATAGCATGCCCCACATGACTGTCAGTGCTTCAATCCCATTCCCTTTTAATTATAATGGCCATTGTGATCAAAGCAATATATAAGACGTTGCAACAAAATGGGTTTAGGTGGGGTAAAATTTTTTCGGCATTCCACTGGTGGGGTAGCTAGAAATTTGGTTTCGAAAAAGCTGGGGTAATGATTTTTTCTGGCTGCATTTTACTTTCCCTTCGGCCCCCACCCCTGCCATAAATAATGACCGGTCCCTAACTTGACAAAAAATGATAAACAAATTGATGGCCGCAAGGCGCGGAAGGAAACTGATCTTTCAAAGATGGTGAGAAAAGGTAAATTTTGAAAATGTGAGAAAGTAACACTTCACAAGGAGTAATTGTTAGGCTAACACCAGGGGCGCACATTCAAAAAAAATTTGGGGGGGTGTCCTATGTTCCGGGACCGACTTTTGTAGTATTTGTGTTTGATAACAAAAGCCAACTATTTTAAGGTGTGCACAGTACTCGTGAACCGGTGAAAGTTCGGTTTAATTAATCTCACAGTCTTGTTATAAATACAATTAATATAAAATTTAAGAGTTGGACGTATGGTACAGGGCCGTAAGAAATTCTTTTCGATTGCTGAAAGCGAGGGTCGAGGCCCGAGGAAATTTTTAAATTTAGAGTCTCTGCAATGCCATTTCCTGGACTTTGGGGGAAGATTTAACAGAATTCTGATAGTCAGAAAACAGCGTTTTAGTATGTCGAAATTCACAATTTAATTTAGTAGTACTAAATGGCCGATGGCGTATTTAATTAACTATTATATGTTGAATAAGTTGCAGGAAAGTGTGGGTAATACCATGGATTGTAAAATAACATGTACTTTATTATCCATGATAATACCTTCATTCTTTGCAGCTTGTCACAGATTAAATGATAAAGGTCTGCATGACATGCGACGGCCCTGTGGTTATTGCACGAGGTCGAGTAACTATGTAAAAAAGTAGACCGTTAAAAATTAACCTGTTGTTGTTCTAATTTGATTTTATAGCCAGTATATTAGCCACAAGCCCACAGTATTATTAAAGCCGGAATAGTACATTATTAAAGTCAAGAGCTCAACTATGGACAATAATGGTTCAAAATAAATCTATAGACTATAGTGCGTGCCCACATGATATTCAACTAAGTCAGTATTAAATACCTGACAACTCAAATTGTTTAGAAAGTTATAGCAATTAGCAATAGATTTCAGACAGTCAAATCAGTTTTTAAATAGTTCACCTGAACAGTTTATATGATCGAAAAATGACAATCGAAATTACTTCACACAAATAAGGCGTTCTGTTTTGGCAGCTTGGCCCAACGATCAACAACAGTGTCTGGGTCCATTATATTGTATCCGTGAGATCCTTTTCACATCCAAGAGTGATTAGATCCCTTAGCCTTCTTTCTTTCATCACTGAACGAATGGCAGTCTTAATCAATTTAAGCTTCGAACTCGAAAAGCTGCGTGTTCATTCGATGCGGATGTAATCGGCTATCTAAATGTGTATAAATGCTATACACTGCCACATACCTCGGTAACCTCGCTTCGATTTATAAGAACGTACGTAGACTCCTCCAAAATTGCGGATGGACTCATAGACGGGGATAGTATTCCAAGAGTTTAAATAAACGTTTAGTTTTTCAGAACTTCTGCTCTAAACTTTCGGGGGGCCAAAATTTTTTATGGATTTCGAGCGCGAGCGCCGAAGGCGCGCGAAAAAATTTTGAATTTCTAGATTCATTAGAACGCTATTTCACGCATTTTGGACGAGGTTGGAAGAAAAGTTACAACCACAAAAAGTCGCCTAATTTTGTTAGATTCCATTTCCAAAATGTCCACCTATTTCTTTTTTCGACACAAAATGATGTCTTTCAGATTTTAGCCGGACCGACTTTTTTTCGTCCAATACAGGATTCGGGACCGACTTTTTAGATATATTTCACAAAACATGGGGGGGTCACCCCCCCCCCCCACACACACACACACACACACCCTAATGTGCGCCCCTGTGTTAACCATAATTTATTTTTAGGAACTGCGATAAAAACATTCCGAAGTGAAAGAGTACAAAAGAGCCCAGTACTGCCTTTATCAACTTCATCGCCGTCTGAGGTAAACGTTCCACGCGAAGAATCCACTACCATCTCCCACTCAAATGAGACAGAATGGCAAAACGATGGCAGTAAAAATATATTTTACCTGGAAAGTCAAATTTTTCACCAGAATGACTCGAGGGAAACGGCCAAAAGAGAAACGTTCGTTTCACTCACAACTCAACATCTCCGGAACAGACGTGAAATTGATGCGATCTTGGAAAGTCCCACCGAATGCGCCAATTTTACTTATACTATAAAGCATGAAGATAATTACACAGTATGGAACAACTTTTCAATGACGTATCGAAGCAGAATGTACCGTTATAATGAGTACAGAGTAACGGACGATGGTCTACAAGTTTGTAATTCTTCTGACCCCCTTATTAAACAAAGATGGCGGGATTTGATTGCTCGGGAAAAGGAAGTGTTGGCTTCCAAATATTGTAATGTATCCGTGGACGCGTTTTACTACTCCAATTACACATTATACAGAAATTTTACTGTTTGCTTCAAACCTACTGAGCAGAGTTTCACAAGGCAAGATTATGGAGTGACTTTTGGATATTTTGCAATTTGTTCGGCAAAGCTTAGTCTGTCCTGCAATGATTATTTGGTTAAAGTGAAATACGGCGATCAGTACAACGTTTTGCAAAACTTTTCGCTGTTTACAAACAACAATATGTGCGATTATCGCCAGTATCAATTTGGAAACGACAGTCTTGTAATGTGTGCTTCCAATGATTCAAGAATTCGGACCATTTGGAGAACTCGAAATTCGTGGGAGATGTTTAAAGACCGGTATAAATGCCGTGGATCTTTTAAAAGAATATCTGCATGGTACTACACTGTGAATAAGCAGTTCACTGTCTATCTCGCACCTAGGAGTCAATATTTCACAAGAAATGACAATGGGGTGGAAGACGGTAAACTTATAATATGCCAAGAAAAGTTCAAACCCATATCGAAAAAGTATACCCAGGAAGATCTATTAATGTGCAACGATTCAATCATTAATATAAAATACGATGATGAATACAAAGTTCGAACTAACTTTTCAATAATCTATAAGAACAAGGTGTACGATTATACTGAGTATCGAGTTCTGAATAATGGCATAAAGATTTGTAACTCCACTGATAATTACGTAGGAATTATTTGGAAAGCATGCACGCATTAAATGGGTAAAGGCGACAATGCATCAAAAAAGTTGCAATAAACCCATTAGAACCTTTTGGTTTCACCGAAAGTATTACCCTCTGAATAAGCAGTTCACTATCTATCTCGCACCTGCGAGTCAATATTTCACAAGAAATGACTATGGGGTGATAGACAGTAAACCTCATCTATGCAAAGATAAGCTGAGACCCCCATCAACAGAGTATACCCAGGAAGATCTATTAATGTGCAAAGATTCAATCATCAATATAAAATACGATGATGAATACAAAGTTCGGACAGACTTTTCAATACTCCATAAGAAAATGGTGTACGATTATACTGAGTATCGAGTTCTGAATGATAGCATAAAGATTTGTAACTCCACTGATAACTACGTGCGGAATATTTGGAAAGTACGCAATAAATGGGTAAAGGCAACAATGCATCAAAAAAGTTGCAATAAAGCCATTAGAGAGCTTCAGTGGTTCTACCGACCGTATTACACTGTGAATAAGCAGTTCACTGTCTATTTCGTAGCTACGAGTCAATATTTCACAAGAAATGATTATGGGGTGGGGGACGGTAAACCTTCTATATGCAAAGAAAAAATCAAACCCACATCAATAGAGTATACCCAGGAAGATCTATTAATGTGCAACGATTCAATCATCAATATAAAATACGATGATGAATACAAACTTCGGACTGACTTTTCAATACTCTATAAGAACAAGGTGTACGATTATATTCAGTATCGAGTTCTGAATGACGGCATAAAGATTTGTAACTCCACTGATAACTACGTACGGAATATTTGGAAAGTACGCAATAAATGGGTAAAGGCAAGAATGCATAAAAAAAGTTGCAATAAACCCATTCGAGAGTTTTGGTTGTACCGAGAGTATTACATTGTGGATAAGCAGTTCACTGTCTATTCGGGAGGTGATGGTGATTATTTTACAAGAAATGAGTATTGGGTGAAAGACGGCAAACTTAAAATATGCTACGTAAACAAGAGACCCGATTCAACAGAGTATACCCAGATCTATTAATGTGCAAAGATTCAATCATCAATATAAAATACGATGATGAATACAAAGTTCGGACAGACTTTTCAATACTCCATAAGAAAATGGTGTACGATTATACTGAGTATCGAGTTCTGAATGATAGCATAAAGATTTGTAACTCCACTGATAACTACGTGCGGAATATTTGGAAAGTACGCAATAAATGGGTAAAGGCAACAATGCATCAAAAAAGTTTCAATAAACCCATTAGAGAGCTTCAGTGGTTGTACCGTCAGTATTACACTGTGAATAAGCAGTTCACTGTCTATTTCGCAGCTACGAGTCAATATTTCACAAGAAATGATTATGGGGTGGGGGACGGTAAACCTTCTATATGCAAAGAAAATATCAAACCCACATCAATAGAGTATACCCAGGAAGATATATTAATGTGCAACGATTCAATCATCAGTATAAAATACGATGATGAATACAAACTTCGGACTGACTTTTCAATACTCTATAAGAACAAGGTGTACGATTATATTCAGTATCGAGTTCTGAATGACGGCATAAAGATTTGTAACTCCACTGATAACTACGTACGGAATATTTGGAAAGTACGCAATAAATGGGTAAAGGCAAGAATGTATAAAAAAAGTTGCAATAAACCCATTCGAGAGTTTTGGTTGTACCGAGAGTATTACATTGTGGATAAGCAGTTCACTGTCTATTCGGGAGGTGATGGTGATTATTTTACAAGAAATGAGTATTGGGTGGAAGACGGCAAACTTAAAATATGCTACGTAAACAAGAGACCCGATGCAACAGAGTATACCCAGGAAGATCTATTAATGTGCAAAGATTCAATCATCAATATAAAATACGATGATGAATACAAAGTTCGGACAGACTTTTCAATACTCCATAAGAAAATGGTGTACGATTATACTGAGTATCGAGTTCTGAATGATAGCATAAAGATTTGTAACTCCACTGATAACAACGTACGGAATATTTGGAAAGTACGCAATAAATGGGTAAAGGCGACAATGCATGAAAAAAGTTGCAATAAAGCCATTACATACATTCAGTTGGATCGACGGGAATACAATGTGCTTAAGGTTACTCCACATGATAAAATGGCGTTTTACAAAAATGCTCACCGCGCTCTCAATTTTTACGCTTTTGCCGTCAAATTTTGTGTACGTGATGATAAATCATTGTTGTAACCAGCAATTTAACAAAAATGTTATATTTTAAAACACTGTAGTTGCTACGGGCTACTTTTGAAAATCTGACCTCCATTGCGCCACGAGATTTGCACGCCGCCGATATAACCCTAGGACCTGCAAAACATCATATTTCCTGTCTCAGATGATCAAATAACTAAAGTGTGTTCGCATTTTTTGACAGCTATTGTATTTGCTTTGATATAAAGCAGACAAGTTGACTTACACAAATTTTGTATACACGGTAGAACGAATGCCTATAACTCAAAAAGTATGGCGTTAAACGTAAAAAGCGAACACAAAATTTTTCTCCTTAACAATTGTTCTGCATTGTGGCAAAGTTTGGAAGGAATCGGGTAAAACGTGCCCGGTGTATTAGTCTTTTTGTGAGGACAATCTGGGAATATTTCATTCTGTGTAAAAGGCTAAAAGATATTTCGCGGGGTTTTTCCGCTCCCTGTTGTGTTTCTCCGCCCTCTGTTCTCACTTCAAACTGTAAGCCAATCAGATCGAACCTCATCAAAGTACTTTTGGCAAAGTGGCTGTGCGTCATTTATTGATGATCTAGTTTGTTATAAGTGCGTAACAGGCAAAACAAAAACATTAAATATGCCAGCAAAACGCAAATGTAGAGACTTGCACTCGCTGTTGCTGTTTGAGTCATTGCTGAAGAACAAGTTGCGGAATCCTCAAACTGTTCGGGCCATTGTTGGTCTTGGGAAAACCATGAGCCCAAGTCACTGTCTGCAAGCACTCGTTTCTTATTCGCATACATGTCCAATACTGTCGACATGATACGGATCGTGAAGCAGCTTCACGATTCTTTAGCTGGGGAGTTCCCGTCATTATAACAATTGTTTACATTGTACTAGTAAAGGAAGATGTTCTAAGGTTTGATCAACCTATTGCGTCTGTAAAGAACGGCGTTCAATCGAGCTTAAGATTCTATCGACGCATTGTACTTGCGAATGGAAATGCGAGGGCAAAATATATAGGGATTTATCACCGTATTGCATCCTTGAAGGGAGATGCCCTACAGTCAAGGTGGAGGTTAAATCAAAGCACTGACGCTTTACTTGAAGATGCCCAGTCAAGGTTTGATCAAAGCACTGTACTTGCAGGGCGGTAGGAAGCTCTTTTCGATTGGGGGGGCTGAAAGCGAGGGCCGAAGGCCCGAGGAAATTTTTAAATTTAGAGTCTCTAAAATGCCATTTCCTGGACTTTGGGGAAGATTTAACAGAATTCTGATAGTCAGAAAACAGCGTTTTAGTATGTCGAAATTTACAGGAAAGTATGGGCCAGACTGTAGTATTATAAATGCGCGGCGGGAATTTTCGTCGTAAATGGCGGTTGCGCGGAAATGAAGGCAGAACATTTGAGAAAATTTCGAAAATCTGGAGTCTCTAGATGGTCTGAAATGGCATTTTCAGAGTTTTCTTTCGCAAGACCCAACACGCAAAAGACAAAATAAATCATTAGTTCATCAAAATGTGCAGATTTTGTGGGATTTTCTTGAAAATGCGCGACAGAAATTCAGCTAAAATTTCTACGCGAGGAACGATCTGGAGTATGAGTAATATCTTCATTCTTTGCAGTTTGTCACAGATTAAATGATAAAGTTTGCATGATTTTGAAAAAAGAATGATTATTAGCAAATTATTGGGGGGGCTGCAGCCCCCCCAGCCCCCCCGGTTGCTACGGCCCTGACTTGAGAAGCAAGATGCAACGGCAGATGATGCAAATATTTATCAACCTATTGTATCTTTGAAGAAAGAAGTTCAGTCAAGCTTAAAGTTTTATGAACGCATTGTATTTGCGAATGGAGATGGAAGGAAGATGATGCAAGGATTTATCAACAGATCTCTGGAGATTGTATCAATGGTCGAATTACTCCCGATTGGTCAGCTGATGTTGATGTATATGGCCTTCAAGGTTGTCTTTTGTTGTACATTATTGGAATGTTCATCCTCACTGCTTATCGAATTCGCCAAAAACTCAAGGCAAGCAGGAACATTGCACAGAAATCGAATGTTGTTAAGCGTCGTAAATTTGTCATATTGCTCAAGTTGTCAACCACTACAGCCTTAAGTTATTGGTTTCCTCTCTTCATATCCAGAATCGTGGATTTTGATTTCGACATAAAGATAGCGTTGTATACTGTAACGTTGCTTACTGGTGCCTACATTGGTATTGCGTTTGTCTTCACACGAAGAAATTATCAGTTGCTCAAGAAAAAAATATTTCCCAGCAAACAATAAGCCGCCAGTTAACGAAATTCCGCTGAATAGACTATAGTGGAAGTAAGTCGGCTGTATAAGTGTAAATATGTAATCAAGTAAGTAATTAAGTATTAGCAAGCAAGCAGGTTAAGGAGGCAGGCAAGCAAGCATGCACGTATTAAAATATATAAAGAATACATGTGTGTATATATATAGCCTATAGAGTAAGTAATTAAACAGTAATCAATGAACAGTGATTAATTTGAAATCTACTAAGTATAACATGTACACCTCTTGTAAAAAATGCAACGTATTCTACCCAAAGTGAAAACGCTTAAAATATATAATGCTATTAATTTATAAAGTATGTATACTTGTACTTTAGATGTTTGTAGTAAAATAAATAAAAAAATGTAAAATTTCTCATTTTGTTTCCCAGAAGGGGAGTCCCATCAGTCTCCACCCTGCCGAAAATCTCAGCAAATTTCCACAACACAGGAGATTGATAAAATGTTCCTTAACTTAGAGTTCAATCTGCATCTTCATGGTTCGAGAGCCATAATCTACTAGAGGACAGACTCACGGATGACGTCATTTCAGTGATGTAATATTTCTAAGGCTTACCCAAGCACATGCAACACCTCTTTCAGAGGCACCAGTGAAGTGGTTTGTTTTGACTTTTGCATGCATGCACGTATATAGATCATGGATCATGTCCGACTTAGCATAAATCTCTGTCTATCGCGCTTCAAAGCCCCAAAACAGAGTCTTGCAGTTTAATGGTTAACAGTGTGTGCCGATGTGCACATGCATGAGGGTCCTGAAGGGGGGGGGGGTCCCAATCCCATTTCCCACCCGAAATTTTGGCAAAATCCCAGTCCCAGTTGGATTTTTATTACAAATCCCAGTCCAAGTTATTGAAATCCCAGTCAATAAAAACCCCTTTATTTATCGGTAGAATAAACAGTTTTAAGACCTTTTAAGCAAGTGGCGGACACTTTATGAAATATTAGGGGGGGGGAGGCTCGTGCCGAAGGCACGGAAAATTTTTAAATTTGAATCCCGGAAATGGCATTTGCAGCATTCTGAGACACGCATCATCATAAAACCCAGAATTCCGGGTGCAACAACAAAAATCATGACCAAAGACACCAAAAACGGATCAAAATTGTATTTTAAAATACTCAAAACGCAGAAAAATTGGGAATCGACTCACATTACCTCAATCCCATTCCCATTTTTGAGGACTTCATTTCCCATTCCCAGTGGCCAAATCCCAGTCCCAGCAACCCAAATCCCATTTTCCCAGTTTAAAAATAGATCAATCCCAGTTCCCATTTTACCCCTTCAGGACCCTCATGCATCGCTTTTGCAGAAATAGTACAATTTTTGCAATCATTTTTCCAAACAATGTGCAAACTTTGTTTTTTAACTCGACAATATAGGGTCAGATTTTGTATTTTGTTCCTCGTTGTTGCATGCCATATATGGCATGCAACTTTCATATAGCTCTAAATTTCGTGTCATCGCAGAGGTAGACTTGCTCCAAGTCTCTCTTTGTGGACATCTATATATTGTACATCTATATTGTACGTTACATGACGTACCGCTGAGGGGGAGAGGAGGAAAGAGAAGAGAGACTTGTAACATCTGGCAAGCAGACATACTTCCGGCTGGTCAATTTCGACCAGCCGGAAGTAGATGGCCGCATTGACTTATCACGTGTTTAGGGGGGAAGGCGACATCTGGACTTTCAGAGTTATTTGTTTAGCATGAGTAATTTTGTATTCACGAGATTTCTTGTAGATTTCACATCACTTTTGACTGCGTGCATTTGGAATTTTGGGCATTATTTTTGCAATTTATTGTAAACAACGATTATAAGAAGAACGGATAAATTACAAATCAGCCGTAATCGTCATAAACCTCGATGACAACCAGTGTTTTTGTGTTTGACAATTTGTATTTCATTAGATATTTATATGCAAGGTCAGTATAAACGGGTTATCATATAAAATTATCATTCTAATGAATGAATTGATAAAACGAATTATTTCTAGTATGTACGGCCGCGTTTTTTACACGGCCACTACTGAAACGTTTAGCTTGGTTGTTGAATAAATCGATGACTTGCTTAGTTGCTTTCTGTTTTGAGCTTAAACCACCGTTTAAGCTAAACGGGCTTGATACAACTGGCCCCAGACTCGGCCCCAGATAAACATTTTTGTATTATCGAGATCGAAACTATAGTAAATTGGAAACCGTGTCAATAATAAAAAAGTACAATGAACTTATGAACATGCGGAAAATTTTAAAAATTTGTATAAATTTTGGGCGTGACAATTTTCCGCAT